TGGTTTTTTATTTGCAACCTGTGTTTCCAGAAGTTGAGACGTTGAGAGAAGAAGAAGTTGCCTGCTGCCTCCGTTTTTGCTGAGGATGAAACTGCCTCCATACGCTACTTTCATTCTTGGGTGAAGATGGCTGAGGATGAAACTGCCTCCATACACTTCTACTATTTTAATTATGGCGCCACTTATATTGAAGATAAGGAGTTTGGCTGATTGTCCATGGTCGGTACTGCTTGGGGACCTTCGTGAGCTAGTGACACCGATCTAAAGAATTAGGTCGATTGTCGGTCATTGGTGTCACTTGGGGTCCTTCGTTGGGCTAGTGTCACTAATCTAAGAAATTAGGCCGATTGCCGGTCATCGGTGTCACTTGGGGCCCTTCGTTGGGTTAGTGGCACCGATGTAAAGAATTAGGCTGATTGTCGGTCGTAGGTGTCGCTTGGGGCCCTTCGTTGAGTTAATGGCACTGATCTAAAGAATTAGGCCAATTGCAGGTCATCGGTGTCGCTTGGGGCCCTTCGTTGGGCTAGTTGCACCGATCTAAAGAATTAGGCCGATTGCCGGTCATCAGTGTCGCTTGGGGCCCTTCGTTGGGCCAGTGACACCGATATAAAGAATTAGGCCGATTGCCGGTCATCGGTGTCACTTGGGACCCTTCGTTGGGCTAGTGGCACCAATCTAAAGAATTAGGCTGATTGCACCTGTCGAAGACAGAGATGTTGCCGCTACTTTTGACCTTTGTCCATTCTGAAGGAGCTTGACTAATTATTGGCCCAATTTGAAATCTATCCATCGCACCGGGAGTAGTTCCCGAAGATGACTGCGCAACTAGGATTCTTGATCGGCTTCTAGTGATAGAGCCTTGCATGTTTTGATTCGAGCTTGATGACGCTCTAGAATTCAAAGTGAACATGGGCTTGCTTGATGCCATTGGTTTGTTTTCATTGATCAAAAGTGAAGAGATGAGAGGTAGAATTGTCCCACCGGGCGTGCCAAAAATTTGTGAAACAAATTTTAAGTATGCACTTAAAATTGATCGCAAATAATAATATGTGATAATATTGGGTACAATCTCTAAATATGAATCCTCTGATTCTTCACTTGCAATTTGAAATAAATATAATTAAAGGATTTAATTAAAAATTAAATCTTGAATCCTTCGAACATTCGAACGCTCTTCAGATCTTCAAATCTTCATTCTTGAGATCTTCGAATCTTCATTCGTCAGGTCTTCAAATCTTCTTGAATGAAGAATTCGACTTGAAGGACCTCCGGTTTTCAAGTGACTTGATCTTCAACAAAAGGGCCATTTTATGGCTTGATCTTTTGTTTAAGGGCCTCCCGGGATATATGGCTTCATCTTCAAATGAATTTAAATTCAATGTTCATATGAGTATCTTCAAATCTTCAAAGATTCGTTCTTCATATCTTCGAATCTTCAAAGTCTTGTTTTTCAGATATTCGAATCTTCAAGCTTCGTTCTTCAGATCTTCGAACGTTCTTCAACTTTTGGATTTTATTTTATCAAGAACCGACGAAATCACGAATGATTATTCGTACATTCATAATAAAATTCGTGGCTTGATCTATATCTCTTCTTCGGAATCGTTCAGAGTCTTTCAGTAGTTCTTGACAGCTTTTCTGCAGTGTTTCTTCGTCTCAAAATTCTCTCTCTCTTCCTCTCAACTGAGACCTCTATTTATAGGTGTGGAGGGAGTGAAAATATGCTCTAGGGTTTGGAAATTCGTCCATACGCCTTGGGCCTTGATTAAAATGGGCTTTGGGCTCTATTTGCTCGCATTTTAATAGCTAGAAAAATCAACACTTGTTCGATGTATCTAGACAATTTTTTAACAAGATTTGGAGCTATTTTCCATGCATACAGATGAATTTGTTAGCCAGATTCATTGTCCTTTTCATAAGTTAGATCATGCCTCTTATTTATTGGGCTTAAAATAAAGAAATTAATAGGACCGGTCCATTCTTTTAAATATTTAATTTATAATTAAATCAATTGGGTATGTTTTCTTTTTAATGACCCAAATAGACTCAATTATTAAATTTGATCTGAATGGGTTCTATTAATATTGTATAAGGCTCAACAATCATCACGGGCATGGCAAGAGAATTAAACATTGACCCAATAATTTTATATGTCCACAACCTCTAATCTTAAATTTCTATGTCCCAGTAACCTTAACTTCTAAATCCACCACCGCCTCTATGTTTGAATACATACGTACACGGGATTTTAAATTTTAGAGCACGAGATTGGGAGAATTTTATTAAAACCCCAAAGAATATACTAGGTTCTATTTTAATTGTTGAACGTTTTGTACTATTCACATATTATAATTTGATCATATTTTATTAATTAATGTATTTAAATTAATTTTTTTAAAAATATTGTTAAATTCTTCTTATTGTAAATTTTCAAAATATGAATTTATTAAAATTTTTACTAATAGGGAATGAAAGATATTAATGGTCAACGTGTGGTTGGAAAACGTGAAATGTTGTATGTTGCAATTAAAAGAGAACGGGGAAATATGTAGTACATAATAATACTCCTATTTTGAACACCCAGATTTTACCGGAAATAATAACAGAAAAAAGGAAAGAAACCCGCACGGGTAGCTCAGTTGGTTAAGTGATGGGAAATTTGGATCAAGGGACCAAGGTTCGAATCCCGTAGCGACCGTGTGGAGATTACAACTTCTGAAATGGGCTGGACCTCTGGTGCGCACAGGTATATGAGCCTACTGTCACTTCTCTGACTAAGTCACCATAATTTACATCCTCTCACGTGTCCTGTCGAGTCAGGGTGTGGGAGGCTCCGGGGTAGGAGATTCCACCTTTTTTATCAAGAAAAAAGGAATGAAAAAAGAAGAGGAGGTGGATCGGGTAGCTTACAGCTGGATCAAATTTTTACACCTAAACGCTTCCAATTTCATTGTTCGGGTATGGGCCTACTGTCATTCTGCTGATTGAATCACCGTGACTAACCTCCCCACCATCCTGTCGGGTCGGGGTGGGGGGACTCTTGGGGTGGTAGATTCCACCTTTTGGAACAACAACGCTTCCAATTTCAACCTATTAGTAAAACCAAGGATTATTAATTGCCTTATTAATAATGCATTCTTTTTTGGATGAATTTTATGAGTTTTTTCCAAAATAATGCTAAATAAAAAAATATATACGAAATTAGGGTTGAGTTAAAACTATTTACCAAAATACTGTCAGAATAAACCCTAGTTAAACAAAGTCCTCAAATCAGTTGGTGACTTATGCTTAAATTCGTAACTCGCACACGACACACTAAAAGAGAGCTGACCAATAGAATCCGATTTTGTTTATAAAAACTTAAAAAACCCCTCTTTTTTTAAATGGTTATAAGTTTTTTTATTTATAATCTGATTTTCATAAAAAATATATCAAAATTCATAACTTTTTATTACCTTTCCTATGCCACCAATATTCAATATATAAAATCAAAAAAATGAATATACAATGAGTGGAGGTTTTTTAGGCTAGAAACCCTTTTAAGTAGATCAATGTTCTAAAATTAAGATTTCATAATTTCTTAGAGCATGTTTGGTAACACTTAAATTGACTGAATCGGTGGGTTCCGGTGAAGTTTATTAAGTTCTGGATAAAGTGCTTGAATTCAGCCAATTCAGACACTTCATCTAGAACTTAATAAAGTCCAGCCGAATCGGCCCATTCAGTCAATTTAAGTATTACCAAACGAGATCTAAGAAATTATGAGATCATAATCTTAGAACATTGATCTACTTAAAAAAGTTAGTAGTCTAAAAAACACCTTCAATCATTGTATTTTCAGAATTTTTTAATTTTATATATTGAATATTGGTGTCATATGAAAGACAATAAAAAATTATGCATTTTGATATATATTTTATGAAAATCGAATTGTAAATAAAAAAACTTATAACCATTTAAAAAAAGATGAATTTTTTTTAAGTGTTGGTGCATGAACTATCACTATTGGGCTATTGGCCAGCCCTTTTTTAGTTTATTGCGTGCGTGAGTTGCCAATTTAAGAATTTAAGCTTAAGGGGCCAACTCATTTGCCGACTTTAGTTAAGTAGGTTTATTCCAGCATTATTTTGATAAATAGTTTTAATTCTATCCTAATTTTGTATATATTTTTTTTATTTAGCATTATTTTAGAAAAAAACTCGAATTTTAAATTAAAAGAAATATTGTACGGATTAATTGACATTGATTCTGATCGAATAGGTAATTTAAATGAAACATTAAAAATATTATTTTTATTCTATTTAAAGAAAGATCTAATTATGGTTACTAAATCAAACATTAAAACTATCTTTATATTTTTCAATCAGGATTGTAACTATTTGAATCAATCAATCACGAATGTTATCTAAACATTCAAAATCAGGAAGAAGTTGGCTGTTTCATTTTCCACACAATGTACTACTTCCTCCGTTCCTAAATAAACTTCCAACTTTCCTTTTAAGTCATTTAGTAGTTTCTCATTAGAAGTAAAAATTTGACCCTTGCCTCTCTAAGTTGTGAACCAGCTCCATCCTTTTTATTACATTTACATAATTACATATACAAATATGGAGTTTATATTAATCTAATAATTACTAACATTTTTTTTAAAACAATACCCAAGTACTACGTAATTACTAACACAACATTTGCAATATGGCGTTGTTAATACGGAGTATTCATTTTGAAGTAATTAGTATTAATTTTGATTTTACACGCTAAATTGTTCAATAATCAAAATAAGTGAGTGTAAATGATTATTTTAGCAATTTTTCATATAATATTTGTTTCATTGTTTCATTAACAAAAGACTACTTATATTTTCAATCTAACATTTCCATAACTAATTGAACAAATTAAGTCAAATTAAAGAATTTCATTAAATTTGTTAGATTCAGGCAATAATAGTACATACATAAATTACAGATTAAATCTAAAAAAATCAAATTAATAGTTTGCCACCAAACACAACCTTAAAAATACTGATTAATAAGAACTGCATGTCTACACTCAATCTTCTCTCCCTCACAAACATGGAACTATTCATTCACTTCCTTCTGTTACTCATTCCCATCCTACTCTTCCTCTGTTTCTTTCTTGCCGCAAAGCACCAGCAAAAACCCACAAAACCCGGCCTCAAAATGTATCCTATCTTCGGAGACTTGCCGGACTTCCTACGGAACCGCCACCGCTTCCTCGAATGGACCACCGACGTCCTCTCCGCATGCCCCACCAACACCACCGCCTTCAGCCGTCCCGGAGGAGTCCGCGGCGTCTTCACCGCCAACCCTCTCAACGTCGAGTACATGCTCAAGACCAACTTCGAGAACTACCCAAAAGGCCTCCGTTTCATAAATCTGCTCCAAGATTTCCTCGGAAGCGGAATATTTAATTCCGATAGCGACCAGTGGAAGACCCAACGAAAAACCGCCAGCCACGAGTTCAGCACCAGATCCCTCCGGAACTTTGCGATGGAAACGGCGAGAGCGGAGCTTGAAACTCGCCTGATTCCGATCCTCAGAGATGCGGCGGCCAGAAACAGAGTACTTGATATTCAGGACATTCTTGAAAGATTCGCGTTTGATAACATCAACAAGGTCGCATTCAACGTAGATCCCGGCTGTCTCACCGGAGACCGAAACGGCTCCGGCGAATTCATGCGAGCTTTCGAGGACGCGGCGACTCTGAGCTGCGGCAGATTCATGTACGTTATTCCATTCTTGTACAGAATAAAGAAACTTTTAAACATGGGTTCGGAGAGAAAGTTACAGAAATCGATCAAAATCGTGCACGAATTCGCCGACGAGATCATCGCGTCAAGAATGGCAAATCCGGCGGAGAAAACCGGCGAGGATTTACTATCAAGATTCATGGCAACCGGGGAAAACTCACATTCCCCAAAATTTCTCAGAGACGTTGTGATCAGTTTCATCTTGGCCGGCCGGGACACGACGTCGTCAGCGCTGACGTGGTTCTTCTGGCTGATTTCATCCCGGCCGGAGGTGGAACAGAGCATACTCCAAGAACTGAGAAAAATCCGACAAAAGACCGGCCAGCAACCCGGAGAATCATGGTACGGCTTGGATGAACTAAGGGAAATGCATTACCTCCACGCGGCGATCTCGGAGGCGATGAGGCTGTACCCGCCGGTGCCGGTGGACACAAAGGCTTGCCTGACAGACGACGTTTTGCCGGACGGAACCTTCGTCGGAAAAGGCTGGTTCTTGACGTACCACACGTACGCTATGGGGAGGATGGAGAGCATATGGGGGGCAGACTGCTGGGAGTACAAGCCGGAGAGGTGGCTGGAGAAGGGGCTGTACAGCCCAACAAGTCCGTTCCGGTTCCCGGTGTTCCACGGCGGAGCAAGGATGTGTTTGGGGAAGGAAATGGCTTATATTCAGATGAAGTCAATTGCAGCGGCGGTGCTGGAAAGGTTTGAGATGGATGTGATGATGGAGAAGGGGAAGGTCCCTGGTTTTGTTTTGTCTCTGACACTGAGAATGAAAGGTGGGTTGCCAGTCATGGTCAGGGACCGAAATGTGTGCAAATAATTATAATAAAAAAAGAGTTCTTGCATAAGGCCTTTTGTTTTGTTTAAGTTGCTTTAGATAATCATCATATTGAAATGTCACATTCATGTTTTTGAATTTGTTGATGTAAATGTGGTCGTTGAGGTTTATCCTTCAACTCATAGCCCAAAACGTGTCCTAAAGGTTTCGAATAGAAGAGTAGGAAGAAAAGGTGAAGAAACAAGCGAGAAGAGGCACGTTCATCCCTAACATACAAGGCGTGAGGTCATTCGTCCCTAGCTTATGCTACGAGCTGTTACAATGTTATACTATTAGAGTGCTTAATTGTCAAGCCTTTACAATGAAATAAATGTCTCTATTTATACTGCTAATGGGTAGTTGGGTGCACTGACGTGGCGGGTTGTGAGTCGCTTGACCCCAACCATCAAATCTTCTACATTAAATGCGCTTCCCGCCAGGGTCTTGGCTTTCCGCCAAGAGGAGGAGACGTTCGTCCCATGAGCTTGCCTCTCCCTCCTGCTGGGATCTTGGCATCCAGTCAAGGAGGGGACGTTCGTCCCACGCGCTTGCCCCCCTTCCTGCTGGCATCCAACCAAGTCTTTCAAGATGAATGTCTTGTGTTGTGCGCATGTGTCTGGCCAAGGGACCAGCCGATGTTAGGATACGTACGTCCTCCTGGCCTTTGTGCTGAAGCCTGGATGGCCCTGGCTTAGGATACGTACGTTACCTTGGTGTTGCTCTCGGGCCATGGTACCATTAGACTATCGCATGTACGTCCCCTGGCCTTATATGCTGAGGGCCTTCCGAGGATGTTCGTAGGATGCGCCTCTGGAGAATCAACGAAAAGGTACTTTATTGCTTTGGGCCTTCCGAGGACGTTCATAGGAAGCGCCTAAGGGTTTATGGGGCACCCCCATTGGACCATTAACCCAACAGTGGTCCTTTGAGAAGTGAAATGTACAATGTGGGCGATGAGTACATTTCACCCCCTAAGGATCACATTTACAACAATTTGGACAATTAAGGAGTGACATTTATAATCTTCGAAGCACAGGTCTGACATTTCAATATGGTGACTATTTCGGGGACTAAAGGTGCGATTTTCCCTAGATTTTATATAGAACAAAATTTATCCATGAATTCTGTTTTAAATTTATGTAAGGAATAAATGTATTTAGATTTTGATGATGTTAGGTTTATTAGAATTTGAAAGTACCCTATTAGAAATTGTGTATTAGAATTTCTTTTGTAAATTTTAGCTTTGTCTGCCTGCCAGAGTTCCATCTTGCCTCTACCAGAGTTGCTCCCAGAGTTGCTCACCAGAGAAGCCATCAGAAACTGGTTATCAGGAAGATACCAGAGTTGGCAACAGAAACGGACTTCAGAGATTGGACCAGAGAACCTCTTCAGACTCTGCTAAATCCACCAGATTCCGGAAGCCCTTCCAACGGTCGTTAAACTAACGGGAAATCCCCTAACGGTTACAAACCTTTCAACGGAAGCATGGCACTGTACACGCATTAAATGCACATTTAATGCTGTACGTACGAAGAGATATTTAAAGCTGATGATTGACCATGCGAGTATCTTTACGCCCCCAAAATAGCAAGTCGGAGGACCAAACGGTCAAGTCAACAGTACATGCATTTAATGAAGCTGTCTTCTACACTCCAACGGGAAGACTGCTCCCAGTATAAAAGATACACTCTGAAGAACTAAGAAAAGCAACTTTGCCAAGATAAATTTGCGTAAACAACCTTCTTGAGATTAAAACTTCATTCTCAGACAAGAAAAGGCTCCAGTTGGAAGATATACTTTCTTATCCTTTATCCAACTAGCAAACTGCAAAGTTACTCAGTTCTTCAACACTTCGAAAGCTTCATATACCTATCCTTTGTGAAGAAGCAACGTTGGAGAAAACTGATTTTATATCAAAGACTTCTTGAAAAAGAAGGGACGTCTCAAACTAGCTGGAGTAAGTGAAGTGAGGATACTTCAAGAGGAAACGAGATCAGCCATCAGGAAGCAGGACTGCATCCCGGGTGGCAACTAGACTTGAAGAAGACGAGGAGTGCTTCTTATGCTCTAGGGTCTAAGGCGTTGTAAACTGTTGTTTTTACAACCTTAGTGGAACAGTGGACTAGAGGAACAAGTTGTTCCTTGAACCACTATAAAAACCCCGGTGTCATTTACTTTAAGCTTTTAATTCCTGCACTTAAGATTCTACTGACTAACTCTTAAGGTTGGACTCTGTGTCCAGCAGATCTTCCTTCAGAGTTATCAGAAAGGCACCTTGCCTGAGCTTTCTTCTAGAGGCTACCCGGACAGAAACTTATCCGCTGCCTGGTCTAGTTCTGCCATCAGAACTTGACCATCTCTGTCACCAGATTTGGACCATCTCTGTGAAGTCAGACTTGACTTGGAGAAAAGTTTAAATTCCTAAAACAGTCTATTCACCCCCCCCCCCCCCCCTCTAGACTGTTTCCATTACAAACGGGACCAACAAGTGGTATCAGAGCCTCCTTGTTCTTGTAATCTTTTAGGTTACTTACTAAACAAGAGATCCACTTGTTTTAGCCTCTTTAATCTCGTATTATGGATAACACTCTTTCAAAGAATCTTATGTTCTCAGTAACAAAGTTTGATGACTGGAGGATCCGCATGAAAGCTCACCTCTGCGCACTCCATGACGAAATGTGGGAAGTTCTTGATGCAGGACCTTTCACAGAGTTCACCAAGGTCAACCCTGAATACATCACTGGTAGTGGTCAACCCCAGATGATCACCAAACTGCGCCATGAACGGTCTAATGAAGAAAGGAGAAAGTACAACCTTGACAACATTGCCAAGGATATCCTCTACAAGGCCATTGATGACAAGTACTTCACAAGGATCAAGAAGTGCAAATCTGCCAAGGAAATCTGGGATACTCTCACCCTGATAGGAGCTGGAGATGAGCAAGAAAAGGACAACAAACTCACTATTGCCATGAAGAAGTTTGAAGACTTCAAACTTCTACCTAAAGAATGCATAACTGAGATGTATGCACGCTTGCTCACCCTCACTGCTGAGATATCAGAACTTGGGAAGGAACTTACTCCCAAAGAGATCAACTTGAAGGTTCTCAGAGGTCTACCTTCACCATGGAAGATGAAGGTCACTGCCATGAGAGATAGCAAGGATCTCAGAACCTACAGCACTGAGAAACTCATCTCTGATCTCAAATCCTATGAGTTTGAGATGAATGAAGAGGAGAAAGAAGAAGTTGAGGACAGAACAACTACTGCCCTCACTGCCAGCACCTCTCAGGTAAATAATTTTGACCCTTCTATTCTTTTAACTGACGAGTATATGGCGGCTTTTGCTAGGAAGTTCAGGAAATTCTTAAAGCCGAAGGATAGCAGAAGTCCACACTCTAGTAGAAAGCCACACCAGAAGTCCAAACCATCAGAAAGTAGTGGAGAGCTTCTCTGCTACAACTGCAGACAACCAGGGCACTTCAAAGTCAATTGTCCACACCCCATAGTCTCCAAAAGGCAAGGCCAGGAAGGAGAAAAGAAATACGAGCACCGAAGAAGGAAAGCACTCATCACTGAACAACCAGAGAAGGACCTCCTCTCTGAGACAGAGTCCAGCTCGGAATCAGAATCTGATGAAGCATTCTGTTGCCTGGACACAGAAACTGAAGACCTATGCCTTATGGGTCAATCTGATGATGAGGTATCTTCTACTTCCAACTCTAGTTTTTCTTCGGTAGGCAGAGCCTTTGATTCTGATTCAATGTCAGAATTTTGGGAAGAGTTTCAAGCCATACAAACCACTTATTCTTCTGTTAAAGAAGAAAACAGTAAGCTTAAGGTTGAAATCCTTGACTTAAGAAAGGAGGCTGAGATCAAAATCAATCTTCTAATTAAGGAAAGAGATCAGCTGGAAGCTGAAAATGTTTCTCTTCTAAAGAGAATAAGAGAGATAGAGCCTCTTGAGATTAAGTACAAAGCTTACCAGAAGGCCCAGTCTTCCATGGAAAAGATTGTACTTGACCAACAAATTGGCACTGGTTTTGGTCTTGGTTATGGCTCAACAGAATCAGGTGAGCCTTCTGTAATGCCTAGCACCAGAGTTGCTAAGGCAGACAAGGTCATAGTGCCACTGATTCCTAGCCCCATTTGTCAGGCTGGTGTATCTGGCACCAAGGTTATTCATGAGAATGTCAGACCAGAAAAGGAAAAGATAAAGGTTCAACAGAAACCCATTTTAAAAGTTAATAAACCTGGCAGAAGACCTAACAACAGGAAAGATTTTCAGAATACCAAAAATCAAAGACAAAACCATAACAGACAAACTCATGATAATCATGTCATAAATGATCACCAGAAAGGCAGATATCAAGAGAAAGTTAACTTTAGGCAGAAAAGGTTGGCTGGTCAACTTAAGAAGCCCAAAGTTAATCGCCCCTGTGATCTTGATAGTATATGGGACTTCTACCCAACTAAAAAGGCTATGCAGAAGTATGTAAACCGGAAGCATGATCCTCACAAGCATCTGCCCAAAGTGAATCACACTTCCGTTTACTATGACTACCAGGTGGACAATGGGTATCACCCACCAAGGTTTCACTTGATGAGACCAAAGTGGTACCGGCTGCCAAGACTGCATAACCCCCTAGGACCCAACATTGCTTGGGTACCTAAATCCTCCTTTTAATTTTGTAGGAACTGTGTGCTGGAGCCATCTCTGAGCAAGATTGGTACATTGATAGTGGATGCTCCAGGCACATGACAGGTGACAAGAGTTGCCTAACAGAGTTCCAGAAAGTCAAAGGGCCTAGAGTTACCTTTGGAGGTAATGATAAAGATGGCCAGACAAAAGGAAGACGGAAGCTGATAAAGAACCAGATAATCATAGATGATGTCTCCTATGTCAACGGACTGAAATTCAACTTGCTGAGTGCTAGCCAATTCTGTGACAAAGGCTACACAGTTGAATTCTCCAAAGAAGGATGCTTTGTCAAGCATGAGACAACTAAAGAAGTGGTTCTAACAGCAACAAGGAAGAAAAACATCTATGTAGTTGATTGGTTAACCGCAAAAGATGGAATTTGCCTGATAGCCAAAGGAGATTCAAAACTCAGTTGGGAATGGCACAAGAAACTGAGCCACTTGAATTTCAAAACAATCAACAAACTGGCAAGGGATCACATTGTTGAAGGTCTACCCAACCTTGTATACAAAAAGGAGAACTTGTGCAGTGCATGCCAGAAAGGAAAACAAATGAAGAACTCATTCAGGCCCATTGCTGGAAACCTATCTACTGGTCCTCTGAATCTAATCCACATGGATTTATTTGGACCAGTGGAAACTCCAAGTGTTGGTGGCAAA